TTTTTACATGCCTCGACATTTTTTATCGCCCTGATGATGGAAACAACAAGTACCTCTGAAATGTCAGTAAACCAGACTACTCGGCTACTTCGTATTCTGGAGGTCCCGCGTTCAAATCTCGGCCGGAGATGGGCTAACCCGACAGGATTTTCGTGGTAATCCTCGGTCCCTCCAGGAAAATACTGGGATAGGGCCTTAAATTGGCCACTACCACTTCCTTCCTTTCCAATTCATTATTTCGTTTTTGTCTGAGATACTGGAAAAGTGTAGTCTATGTGCTGTAGTAAACCATAAAATTAATACAGATGTTGTCGAATTTCGTCAAAGAAGGCGCAGTTATCGACGCTCTATTACGAATTTACAGTCCAAGATTAAACAGTACTAACGTCAAGTTGGCGTTACGATTTAAACCCTGCGGAGATTCAAAACGAAACTCGACTATTTCTGCTTAGGCTTGTATAGCCAGATCTCTCGTGCTTCCTGCCACAGCAGAGAACTTGATAAACAACACAGTTCCGCTACTTGCGGCACCATCTTGAAAAAAAAAAAAAAAAAAAGGTCTCAGTGCCGGAAGTCCCATATAACAGATGCTCAGAAACAAGGCGTGCGCCAAACCCTTTGAATGCTAAAAGCGAGATATAACCTGTCTGAACAGGGAGTGCACTTTTCGTAATGGAACACATGAGCACTTGAGCAGAAATGAAAACACAGTCTAGCCAAGAACATCGTCATCTTTAGTCAGTACAGAACCACTTTTCTGCCTACACAGGCTTTGTAAAGTGCGCGTGGTATTTCATTTACTGTTTTCAACATCTTTCCATCACATCAGCTCATTTACTTGGCGATTTGCTAGTTTCCTTTCTGCCTGGACTGTATCTTACGTAGATCTTTATCAGCTGTCACCTGACAACAAATCATTAATTCCAAACTGCATTCTTCCTCAGGTAAGTTTATATCACTTAGATAAAACAGTTTGTTTTCAATAAAAAAAACACTATCATTAAACATTGCCAGTGAAAATAGCCATTTCTGGCCACCTTTCGTAATTTAATTCAAAATAGCTGCGACGTTTCAACACTACGAAATGTTAAAACAAAAATTCGAAAATTCGAAATAAACTTGCTTTCACGGAAGGCACAACTGGTTCCAATAAAACTGTTTCGTAGACGTGCTATCACACACAATTCTACAAACCAATGTTGTTTGGCTCTAGGTTTTTTTGTTTTTGTTTTCAGGAGTAATTTATTAAATTAATATAAAATTAATGTGTCACGATTCCTGAGGCTCACGGGGATCGCGCTAATGAATTAGGATGTACTAAAGGGACAGACATCACTGCGATGTAGAGCGCGCTGCATTAATTACAAGTCGCTCTGTTTGTTTGAAATTGTCGAAGAGTCACGAAGACACCAAAATTTTAGAAATGAAAGCAAAGACTGAGCTCGTTTCAGTCCTCGTAATATTTCGATCTGAACTGCCAGAGCAACTGACAGAAACGGTCACGATTCAACTTAATAGTATCTGAGTCACTCCGCGTAACAATTTCAGAACATGTAGGAAGGGAGAAACGAAGTAGGACCCTATCATACGCAGTCGCTAACATAACCAACGTCCACGTCTCGTCACCAAAAATAAAAGATGGCAAACGAAATAATTTTAGCCGAAAAACGTGAAAAGAATAAACGACTTCGGAGGCCGACATCTTCACTGCCATGAGAACCCTAACCTTCAATTTATCCATTGCATTTATTCAATAAATTTATAACCGGCTCCTTCTGAAGAATATATTTCGTTACACTCTTAACACATTAAAACAATTTATTATATTTCTGTCTCATTACATATATCTTCAGTTTCTTTATGTCTGACTTCACATATTAATTTACAAATGCACATTTTAGTGCCAAGATTCCATGACTCCGGTAACTTCTGCGTAAAAATGACGGCTACGCGTGCTACAGGGGGCGGGGAAACTGCATAACAGAAGTCGTCATCCAACAAGAGTGTATAAGTTGACAAACTGTATTTCGCAAGAAAAATGCCACACATTTTATGACGAAACACGGGGTACGCCAACAATCGAAAGCCGGATATACTGCTGTACAGCAGACGATGTATTCACGTGACACAGCCACGGCATCAATGGAACAGTCGTTCGTTTCGTCGCCAACCTTGCTTTGAAAGAGCAATTATAGTCAATGACTCTTTCGAAGCAAGGTTAGCATTGCCCGGAAATGTCCAATATTTAACAGTACTCGCTGGTTGATGCTATGAGCCCCATAACTGTGGTTTCAATAATAGCTGGAAGACAGACGGGTATTTAAGAGAAAGGGCTTGTGTTTGCGGAGGTAAAGGCGTGGCTCTACATGCAGAATCCCCTAACAATCGATCGCCCAGGACGTCGATCTCTGTTGCAGCCTGCTCCCGCCCGGGTTTACCGCCCGACGGAAGCCCGTTCGCACACCCCACACGCCGTGGGGGCAGGACAAGTTCTAATTCAGATAGGAAGACACTGTACCTAGTGGGTTTATTAATTGGATACGGCAGGGGACACGGTAATAAGGCGACCGAGATATCATAGGTTCGGTATATATCAGCGAACTGTCGTATGTGTTGTGGAAAACAAATATCGAACCAGGATGGAATGAAGGAGAGTACTACAGAAAACGGGGAGGGAAAGGGAATGTTGCTATGGCAACCCAGGTCCATAAGGCGAATGGCACCCCTTCCCAAGCACCCCAGTAAAGCAGTTGGAGTAATGGTAGTAAAAGCAGCCTAAGTTCTCCCACCCGCACCCGTCACCCTCAACCCCCACGGTCCCATTGATTTCTTAATTTAGCTATTCCGTTAGGACCTTTTACAACAACCGGGCAACTAGTCAGAAGGGATGGGGAACAACAATCAATCCATCCAACATTAACACCTACGATCTCACATGCATGCTACGATGTTGCTACTACGTCTCGACCATTACAAGCTTTCATAATGCATACACTTAAAAGTTTATGTTTGCAACGGGTAATGTAGTCATACGTAAACACGATAAGATGAGCATAATTCCAACGTCATGACTATAAAAAAAGAAAAAGAGGTTGTTATAAAAATGCATTTTAACAACGTATTTTCGAAACGGCAAAGTTTTGCAAATCGATTTCGAAGACTGCGGATTGCAAGTAAACTAGAATAAATTGTATGGACTAGAATTTGAAGCGTGTAACGTGACTACCCCGTTCTACAGATGACCATCTTTCTGTCAATGCGTTTCACAGAGTGAGCTGTTTACGGAATGCTCTTTCTTCCGAAAATCACAAATGCTAAAACTACGTTTCAAAAGTTATGAATATTTTTATAGGAATTTCAAAATAACTTACCTCAGTTTCAGTCAAAATTACAGGCACAAAACACTAACACACACGACTCACGAGCTAATCTCAAGCAAACTGTCCTCGGATCACGAACGGACTGCCAGCGGCGCGCACTTACGACCAATAAGAACAGCCATTCTGCATCACGTGGTACAGCTTGTAAGAAGCTATCTTCCAAGCTATAAAAATAAAATAATGTTGTATTATTATAAAAGTGAATACGCATAATCGTATAAAATATTGTAGTTACAGCAATTACGCTATATAATATTGAAAAAAAATGTTAAATTACAATAGGAGTTATACATTATACAGTATACTTCATATTTTACAACGTCCTCTGGTAGCTCAGTTGGTAGAGCGGTGGACTGTAGTAGTAACGGAGGATAGAGACGATAAGTTGTAATCCATAGGTCGCTGGTTCAAATCCGGCCCGGAGGAATTTTTTTTTCCTCCCCTCCATAAATATTTTTCATTTACTCCAATTCTTCGCATTACTTTTTTCCTTCAGATTACTGTGAGATCACGGCAGCATTTTCTAATAATACTGGAGTTTTAGTACTGTGTAGTCTGGATAAGTCTAGGCCACTAGTCCCATATATAAGAGAATGAAGGATGAGACAGAATCACTGTTTAAATAAATTTGACCTTGCATAAATTATTTGGTCACTATTAAAAATCATATTTTTCTTTATCTAACTCAGCATGGTCCAACTGGCAACACGCGACCACTTGTAATCTAGCCCGCGAAAGTATTTGTTAATTTGTTACTAGTTAGTACAAACCCACTTCAGAGTGACTTCTTTCTTGCTTCAAAGAGCAACCATCAGGATGAAGAGTTCTGGAAATTGCTGACAAATTAACAGTTTCCGAAGCTTCACAAATGTGCATAAAAAAATTGCTCGATGTTTGGTAGCACATAGCACTTTCTCCACCATGAAAATGTTAAAAACGAAGCACAGGAAGTGGTTATCTGAGGATGTGTTACAAATAACCCTTCATTTAGCAACAAAAAGAAGCTGATATTCCATCACTGGTAAAAGAACATTCTGCTCAGTGCTCTCACTAAAGCCATTGACTTTAAAAGTATAGAATACTCATTCTGCTGGTACAGATTGTTATTGTATCAGATGCAAGCTGTTAAAGGAGAGGAGTTCAAATAATTTGTGTAAGTTTTACAGGTAAAAATTATGAGAGATACAAGCTGTTGAAAAAGCAAATTTAAAATAGTATACAACTCTATAGTAATTTGTGCACATTTAAATAACATTTATATTTCAGTACATGCAAAAGTAATTTCTCATTTCTGAATAAGTGTTATTAAAGATAACAACAATGTAAAAATAGTGACAGTAGGGGTTGTTGGCCCTTGGGTCCAACAGGAATATTATTCTGGCCAGAGGGAGAAAAAAGGTGGACCACCCTGATCTAATTCATTGTTGCTAAAGGTTGCAAGAAGTTGCCTAATTTGACATAAGTACTTAGTGTTGAATAAGGACATGACCAGGAACCTTGATTAGGTTAAAGCAGCATCTGCAAAACCAGATCATAATAAAAAGATTTATTACTATAATATTTTCAATTAAATAATGACACAAAACCTAACAGAAATTCACTGTAAATTTTGTATCAATAACTTTATACAAAAACAGAAAAACAACCAAAGTCAAAATAGAAAGAAGTCAAACAGGCAGAACAATAACTACAGTAGCTGTATTGAACCAGATCTACAATGAGAATGAAAACCACAATAGGCATAATAAAAAGCTTACAATGCCTTCAAATATGATTGATAAACATTTTTAATGCCTGCACAGGACTAAGAAGAGGAAAGTTTAAGTTACAATATTCATTAGAAATAATAAAATAGACTCTGACAAATGTTGGCTAAATTTAAATTTGTTCTTACACTTATCCTTTTCTTAGTCCCAATGTACCTCTAATTTAATTGAAACAAGCTTCTTACACCCATATTTTGTTTCTAAATACCAATCATCAGTTACTAAACATGTAAATGTGCAGGCAATTAGTATTTTCAGTGCATTTAATGTCAAACTTTTGTTTGGTGCAAGAGCAGTGGAAATTGCAGGGACTGAATGAACTCCTTTTGAAAATGAGTGGAGTTCTTGTTAGTGATAAGGTTACATTAAGGCACATGATGTGTTCTGTCACATACCTATCTACCTATAGCTTTTCAATGCACTGTTTCTGAGGCACTATGGCACTGCTTGTGTGCAGCAAGTACACAAAACACAGATGACAGGGTACTAGTTTCCATTTACGCTAATCTCAACATGCACCACTATTACACAAACAAATAACAAAGAAAAAATAAATTTCTATTGGTAAGGATAGATTTGTGAATACTGTAAACATAATACAGCAATGTAAATAATGAACAAACTATGATAGAAATTATTATGAAAGATAAATCAAGCAGCTGTACTAACAAACTTAACAGATTCAGATTCTGAGATAAACTGGAAGTTTATCAATAAGGAGTGACACTAGCTGTCAAGGTGCTCAAAGAAATATTCTTAAATTTTTAGCTCAACCTCAAAAAATGATAATTTCCACCCGTCACCTTAGATACAGACACAAAAATATTGTAGATATTTTCTTAATGTGGTTCATATCTTCCATGTAAGTTTAAACAATTTACCACTATCTAAACAGTTAACATCAAAACAAAAGTCAAACTTGTGTGTTCATACTAAACTGAGCATACAAAGTAATATCATAGCTCTCTTTAACGTTTATATGTTCACGCAATATCATGTATGGTACAACCATGCTAAACAGTAAATGTGTTAACCTGTCAAACCAGAACATTTATGATATTCTCAAAGCTGAATTAATGTCTAATAAATTCTAGCACTTGAATGTAATTAATGAGACTGCAGACATGCAACTCCCTAAGCCATTTACCATAAAGAGCTATAAGTCATTATTATATTACAACTTCCATGAATACCAAAAAATTGTTCAGATGCAAATTACTGAAAATGAGTAACTACTCTTGCAAGATACACTGCCACAGACACCATACTTTCATGAACCCAAAACTTGTATCCAGTCTAAAATTCTGCACCAAATATAGTAGTATTTGCTACTAATGCCTCATCTAAAAATTGTTTGAAGAAGCAAAAGACACTGCTTAAATTTCCAACTGACTGATTACATTCTACACATTCGTTACATTGGTCTTGAAGATGACACATGACAGACTGCATTGCATATGTACTTATCATGCCTTGAATGCCTTCAAAATAAGGTTAACTATGCACAAGAAAAACATTACATACAATTTTCTGACAGAAAGAAGAAATTTTTATTTATATTCATCTTACTTAACATTATTCAAAAGATATATCTTTGCAAACATATGATGTACACTAGCAGCCAGTCTGTTTTTTGGAATATATATATATTTTCTCTTGTAAGATGTAAGATATTGTTTTGTTTTTCAGGTTGTGGTGACATCGTTATGATGTGGTAGCCATTACTTCTGTTAGATGTAAACAAACTTCTCAAGATGACAATGGTAAATTCTTTTATTTGCTGATTCTGAATCTTCGGGTGAATGAAAAGATAGTTAAGTATTTGAACAATAACATTGAATTAAAAATAATATTTGAAATTTATTAAGCGGCCTGGCATCTTGTACACAGTAAAAGAGTTAAGTACTCTAACTCAAGCAAGTCCTTCTTAATTCTGAATATAACATGCATTCCTCATGAAGCTGGCCCTAAACACTTAAGAATCAGTGCCATGGAATGGGAAGCATAAGTAGTATGAATGCACTCTCTTCCTGGAATTTCCTTCATTATAGAAGTGACAAATAGATCAAACAAAAAAAAGAAGCCATCCAATTGAGCTCAACATTTATCAATGATCTGAATGTATGTCTGTTCAGTACAAGAGGAGGGGACAATTTTTAGGACTGATGGACAAATACATCCCAAATGTTCAATCTTTCCACAGAATCTGTAGAAGGTGACATCTTACAAGTACTGTTTATTACTTAAACATTTTCAAATTGATTCATTTCAAAATATGACACTATATCAGCTCAAATACATTTTGTCAGGAATTAAAATTATCAGTCACTCTTAAAATGCAATTTTCAGAATAATGGACTTACCTCTTTCAGACCTACTTATCTGAGCACAATTAAAACTGTTATAATTATAAACTGAATTTTGTCAATCATTGTTTCTAATGCACCTTCTGGAAGCAAACAAGATCATGCTATATTCCACACAGTGTTGTATGACACCTTAATAATCATGCATGATTTTCACAGCAAAAACACAAAAAATATTTTGAAAATTATTCTCATTCAGAAACTGGTAGCCAATAACATGCACAGCTGTTAAGCCAATAATCTTAATTCCAATAAATTAGTTTCAGACACGCAATATTTACTCAGATTCCATCTGTATCATGCTTATAAAAGAGAGGGTGGGGAAATGTCATATATTCCTCAGAAGTACAGAATATGGCAACACTCAGTGTTTGCCAAAGAAGGCCCTCTCCTATGAGAAGTGAAAATTGATTCCCTGACGAGCCAATAGGCCACTTTGTTATAACAGTCTTTTAGTTACTGTGTGTTCTTTGTACAATGAAATGAATACATACAGGGCTGTTCACGTGTGTCTGTTCACATTTCAATTTTAAAACAGTAGAATAGATTTTGATGAAATTTAGTGTGGACATTATACACATGGAAGCCAACCCAAACTCAAACTTTTTTAATTTTCTGCAACTGGTAATAGGAACATGGCATATGCATTAACTTGTAAGGTAGGAGTGACATTAGATAACTGGAATCTTGCTTCTGCGTGACATGATACTTTTAAACAAGGGGTTTCATTTGTAATTTCCATCTGTCATTAATGATGACAGAAGGGTGTCAAGATAGGAAGCATGAATGCCTTTGAAAGAGTATATGCTAGGAATGAGATGGGTGGTTATGCAACAAACTAATAATAACATATTTTTACTGCTCCAAATTAATTAGAGACAAGCAACTGTGATTGAAGACCACTGTTTTGAAAATCTGCTTCTTGAAAGAAAGTCCTAACTCTGACTGTATAAGTGCTAAGACTTTGGTTCAGTAAGTCAACTTAGCAAGACAAACATGCAAAACTATGTACAGACTAGCATTCAGGTGGATATGGAACAATGGAATGTGGAGGTTGTCTACATCTCATGTTAAGTAAATACAACAAGTAACAATATGAATTGGGAGGAGGAGGAAATGATTCAAACAAATCTGACTAGCACACACTTTCTTATAACTCAATCGACGGAATGGTATCGTTCATCCACCCTGTGCCAGGGGGAGCAACAAGCGCATAACAAAAATCATAACACCCAAAATCCAACGCTAGATAAAAAAAGAACTGCATTTATTTTACAGCTCTGTGTAAGACTACTTGATCTACTGCGGCACTATCAAGTATACATGAGAGTCCAATACAATGAATGGGCTTAAGGCATCTTCTGTTAATGGAGAGTGGGGGATGGGTTAAAGAGTAGCTCTTGATCCAAACCATTACCAACTCTGAAACAAATGTCTCTTGCAATGTTACTGCCAAAAATCAGTGACCAAATTTTTCTCTTTTCATTTTAAGTTATATGAAGTATTGGTGCATACACTGAATAAAATGTAACATAGAAACCTATAGTAAAATCCAAGGATAACGTTTTTGTATGATACTCAAAAGACTTACAGCACGGTTTAGAGTAACTGCCACATAACAAAACCACCTGAGACATACAAATTATATCTACAAATATGTCCCAATGCACAGAAAATTTCAAAATGCCTATATGCTTAAAAATACTGCAAACTGCCAAAGAGGACAACATACCTGAAGGATACACTCGAGAACATGGGAAGCAGGGATGGTACGAGACTGAATGAAGGACTGTGTCTGTTCTATATTGCCAATTTTTGCTATGTACACACTCCTATGTACTAGACACCATCACACATTACACACATGACTCCGTAATTTCTGTCATCACATCATCCGTCCCTTCTGCAGGTTCTGGTCCTAAGCTATCAACTCCCCATTTACTATGAGACAGTGTCCTCTCTCCAATGCCAAGTGTTTCAGCCTTGTGATCAGCACATGAAGTGGAGTCCTATACGAAAAGAGAATACATATGCTCATTGGTTACAACTGTATTGACACAGGTAGGTATGATATTATACATAGAATAAAACGTCAACACAATATTTAATATAGACTAACACCATAAATTTATTAAAAAACGCAGTGTTATAGACATTGCAATAGGTATATAAAATCATTCAGAACATAATAAATAAAAGAAGATGGCTGTCTTCTGCGTTGTAGTGCTGTGTTGTCTGGTAGAAGTTTACCATTGCTTCAGAGGATCTTGCTGCATCAAGATGATGAAAAAGCCGCACATGTGGGATCAGTCTGAGATACAGGAACCAGTTAGACAAGTTATTAAAATATGTAGATTCAAGTTGTATTTCTGGACCCCTGATTAAAAGTGGTCAATTAAAACTCACCCATGTGTCCCCACATCCTCTAGGTGTAGCAAGAGGGGCTTCATCATCTGAGTAGTGGTCCAGTTCTGAAGCATCTGTTTCAGTGCCAACAGATCGTTTGGGGGTAGACTGAAGTGTAGCATAATTACGTCCTCCTCGCAGGAATGTGTCT